GACTCTGCCCTTGGGCCTGCTTAAGGCAAGTGCACACATGCGCACACACAAACAAACAAAATTAATCGTGTCTCTCCTGTGCTCCTTGTGTAGCAGCAGCGTCTCTGTTGACCACCTCCCCCACCCTCCACCCCCACCTACCCACCCCCGAGGCATGTAATGTGTCCTTGGGGACGTTTATAAAAAGAGAAAGTAAGCAATTGAGATCGACCCATGAAACTGTCCGGTCTTCACATTGCAGCGTAAGGGCACATACGCATACACACACACACACACACACACACACACACACACACACACACACACACGCGGTCTGGAGAGCTAAGATGAGAGTGTCATATCCCAGGGCTGGAGAACAGGAGGGCCGAGGGTACACCTCACAGTGAAATGCTTCGCTGCTGCACACAAGGCCGCGGGTTCAGTCTCCAGTGCAGCAGGAGGGGGATCTATTTTAAACTTGCTTTTGGTGTTTCAGGACAGGGTTTCTCTGTGTGGCCCTGGCTGTCCTGGAACTCACTTTGTAGATCAGGCTGGCCTTGAACTCACGGAGAATTCTGGGTGCTGGGATGAAATGTGTGCACGGTCGTACCCCAGCCTAACTTTTTTTTTTTTTTTAAAGAAAGACCAGTTCAGATGTCAGCCATGACAGCTACTTACAGGACTACAGTTCCTGAGAGCGGACCCCTACCTTGGGTTGAATAAGTTAATCTTGGAAGTTAACAGGACATTAGCCCCAACACTAGAGAAAGGCCCTGCCTCGCCCTAGGTGCAGGATGAGAGGAGTTGAGACACTGGCCTGGGTGTTGATGGGACCCCTCCGTGTCTCTTTCACGAGGAAGCTGCGTGCTGCTGTTCGCTGCATCCTCAGAGGATCTTGGTATTGTGGAAGAAAAAAAGTCACAGGCAACGGTGCAGAGAGACCAGTGTCTTGAGAAGAGAATGCTCGGCTCATTTTAAAATTACAGTTATTTATTTGTGTGTGTGTGTGTGTGCATGTGTGTGTGTGCATGTGTTTATGTGAGCGTGTGTACACACAACAGCACACGTGGTGACTAGAGAACAGTTTGTGGAAGTCAGCTCTCTCCTTCCACCATGTAGGTCCTGGGGACCAAACTCAGGTCTTCAAGCTTGGCAATGAGCCCCTTTATTTGCTGAGCCATCTTGCCAGCATATCCCCGTGGCATTTTTACCAGAGCCCACACTTCTTAATGGCCTCGCAAGAATGTTGCCAGCAAGACACGTTCTGTGGTTTTGGTAGGTGTCTACCCAGCAGGTACTTGCTACCCGTTGCCAGATGCCAGTTAGAGGGAACCCGTCCACTGGCTGAGGGCAAAGGCAGTGATGGTGTCCACCTCCGCCGTCAGTGACGGCACACTCCACCGAGCAGGCGCTGGCTGTGGCTATGTGGTCTCGGCAACTGCTCCAGCCGCAAGCCTCAGGATTTTCACTTAATCCTAAGGTCACGTGTTTTCTCTCTGCCCTTAACCTGCGCTCTCTTTTTCTCTTGGTGCAATCAGAGGTGGATGGTTGGATATGTAAATCCAGAGTCCAGGACTTCCAGTTTGGATGCCAAGCCAAAACGTTAGTGTGTCCTAACGTCCAAGCTTACAGTGCTGACTGACCCGGAGCCTGTGTGTGTCCTGTGCTCTATTCTAGGTCTTTCCTTTTGACAGCCTTTCCTTTATCATCTCAGCCTCATACACCAAGGGCAGACCCACAACTCATATCCTGTGGCAGACATTAGCCAGCACATGCAAATGAGTTTCAATCAGAGGAGAGTGGAAATTAGAGTTTTCACTGTGCACCTTCCCCATTGGCCTTAGAAGCGTCTATTGCCCTTGGCATGCTGGTATTTCATGTGGGCAGGGTGAAACTGACTGTGGTCAGGGTGAGATTTTAGGCTTTTGATTTTTTTCCCCCTTATTTTGAAGGGGTTAAAAAAATTGGTATGTATTTTTGGTGTGATTTTAGTATTGGTGTTAATTTTTGTCACATGAGTTTGATTGAGGGTCAAAAGAGTGCCAACTCATGGTGACTAGGTCTGCTTCCTGCAGGGTATCTTCTGATGGGCAGGTTTGGTAGCATGGAGCTTGCTTAGCTTTGTACACTGTTATTAAGATATAATTATTGCTCTTTATTTTTTTACCCCCACCGAGACAGGATTTCTCTGTGTAGCTCTGGCTGTCCTAGAGCTCTGGCTGGCCTGGAGCTCAAAGAAATCCACCTGCCTCTGCCTCCCAAGTACTGGGACTAAAGGCATGGGCTACCATGCCCAACTTAACTCTCTTGCTCTTTTTAAAAAATATTTTTATTCTTATTGTATGGAGTTTTGCTTTCATGGGTGTATGTAGTGTCTGTTGATCCCTTGGAACTAAAATTTTAGATGGTTGTAAAATGCCACAGGGGTGCTAGGAATTCAAACTGGGTAAAAAAGCAAAACTTTATCTCTTTTTATCTCTTATGCACACGAACAGGAACACACACACACACACACACACACACACACACACACACACTACTCATGTGCATGGGCACACAGATCTAAAATGAACTGACTGATTGCCAATAACCCCCTCCAGCTTGCTTCATCCCTCCTGAACCCAAGACCTGTCTTCCCTTTGGTTTTTTTTATTCCTCCATTGACTAACATCATACATCTAAAGATTTTTTTTTTAATTCATTCATTGCTTTTCACTTTTAATTAAGAAAACTCAAATACGTGCGAAATCAAAATAGTTCACCCTGTGACCTGTCCCCAGCTATAGCCATCACAAACCCATGTCTACTCTCTTACTGAGATTTATTCTTCTGTCTCGTGTGAGTGTGAATGTGTTGCCAGCGTGCAAGTTTGTGTTCTGCCTGTAGTGCCCAAGGGGTCAGAAAAGGCTGACAGATGCCCCAGACAAAACTGGAGTTATAGGTCATTATGAGCCACCATGTGAGTGGTGGACTTGAACCCAGGTCCTCTGGAAAAACAACCAGTGCCTTTAACCACTGAGCTATCTCTTCAGCCCCAACTCATGACTACACTTACCTATTTTCTTAATTATCAATTTTAGATATATATTGAAAAATAAAGATTTATTTCTTTTGGGAGTGGGCACAGAGTTGAGGCAAAATCTCTACTTATTCAGGTTGGTCATAACTCATGTTCTTTTTAAAAATTATTTATTTATTTATTTAGTTAAGTTTTTTGTTTGTTTGTTTGTGTTTTTTTTTGTTTTTTTTTTTTTTTCCATGATAGGGTTTCTCTTTTCGTAGCCCTGGCTGTCCTGGAACTCACTCCATAGACCAGGCTGACCTTAAACTCGGAGATCTGCCTGCCCCTGCCTCTCAAATGCACCACAGGTAGGCTGTTTTTTTCTTTTAAAAGATGTTTGAATGTGTGTGTCTGCGTATGGATATGTGTGCATGATTTCAGTAATCTCAGAGGCCGGAGTTGTCGGAGCCCCCAGAGTTATAAATAATCGAAAGCCGCCGTGTGGGTGCTGGGAAACAGCGTGTGCCATTTGCAAGAACAGCAAGTGCTCTTATCTACTGAGCCATCTCTGCAGCTCAGGAACTCATCTGGTTCTAGTTTTGTTTTTTTCTTCGAGACAGGGTCTCACTATATAGTCTGGCTGGCCTGAAGCTCACTATGTAGACCAGGCTGGCCTAGACTCACAGAGATCCACCTGCCTCTGCCTCCGAAGTGCTGGGATCAAAGCGGTGCACGACCACACCTAAGCAGTTACTGCTGCTCTTAAACCTGGCCGGTCTTAGTCCCTGTCTTGGTTACTATGATAAGACATCATGACCAATGCAACTTATGAAAGAAGTATTTAATTTGGGGCTTTGGGTTTCTGGGGGTTAGAGTCCACGATGGTGGAGCAGAGGTAGGTTGGCAGGGACAGCTGGGAGCTCATGTCTTGATCCTCAAACTGGAGGCAGAGAGAATGGCTCTGGGAATGGCCGGGGTTTTTTTTGAAACTTCAAAGCCTGTCCCTAGTGACACACCTCCTCCCAAAAGGCCACACCTCCTAACCCTTCCCAAACAGTTCCACCAACTGGAGACCAAGTATTCAAACATATGAGCCCATGGGGGCCATTTTCATTTAAACCACTACAGTCTCCCCCAGGACTAGGGCAATACCTCCGTGGCTGGATTCCCCACGAAGCAGGAGTCAAGATTTTTGTTGTTCTATTATGTTAACAGTTTTAAACACTTCAGTCTCTTGATTTTCTTAATACATGTATGTCCGTCTGACGCACATGTTGAGGTCAGAGGGCAACTTTGTAGAGCTGGTTTTCTCCCTCCGCTTTTCCCTGGGTTCTGGGGATCCACGCTGGCCCCCTTTGAACTGGATTGTAGGCATGTGCTACTCATTTCTTGTCCTTTCAAAATGTACTCTTACATTTCTGGTTCTTGTTTCGTTAACTGCAGTTTCTCCTGTCTCAGTGACCCCTCTTCATGGAAGGTAGAGTATGGTGACATGTCTCTTTGCTTCTGATGTTTTATTTAGTTCGTGTGTGTGTGTGTGTGTGTGTGTACCATCTCATTTGTGCCTACGTGCATGTGGTCTGTGTACCTCCACAGGAGGCCAGAGGAGAGCATCAGAGCCCCTGAGACAGGTGTCATTGTTTTCAGCTGCCATGTGGGTGCTGGGGAATCAAACCTGGGCCCGCTGGAAGAGCAGCAAGTACTCTTGACTGCTGAGCCATTTCTCCAGCCCCACCCCTCGTTCTATCTTTCAGTGATCTTGTGCGTTATATTTGTGAGGAGAGTGGGAAGTCCTGGAGGAGGAAGCTGGCTTCCTGTCATGCGCACACATCACTTGCAGCCACAGTAAATAAATAAATAATACTCTGGAACAGTATGACCTGTGACCTCATTACCAAAATTAAGTGCCATTAGTCACCATTGCAGTTAGATTATACATATATTTTATTTTATCAGTTATAAATATATAAATATTAAAAAAATAAAACCATTAAAAACTCATAAGTTAAAACATGGAAACTCAATCCTGCCAGTTTTTCATTTGTATGATCCTTCTTAGGCTTTCCAGGAAGTCATTCAGTGTTGTGAGTGTGGACGTGTTCACAGTACAGCTTTCCTACAAAAGAAACGTTGCATTGAGTGAATATTTGGGTCTTGCCACCAGGCCTTGGTCAAGCTTGGTCAAGCGACTCTGGTCGCCTCCAAAATAATAGTGTTCAGGGCTTCCAGACTATCTCAACCCTGACTTTGTCTGTCAGCTGGCCAGCAAATTTTGACCTGCTTTTTTGGCATGTGCTATGGTCACGACAGGTCTGCCGTCAGGGCTCCACAGTCTCTAGGGTGGCACGTCACAGGCGGGGATGGCTGGAGGGCATAAAAGAACATGCAGGTTCAGACTGTCGCCATTCAGCCTGGGGAGCGAGATGAAAGTCTCCCTCCTCTCCTGCCCAGGAAGCAGGTGCCTCTCACAGTGAGGACGGTCCAGGAAGCAGCCCCCAGGCCAGCGCTGCCGTTTGGGGTCTCCGATCCACCCGTTACTTATTACGTAGTCTCACTTACAAAACCCTTCCCTGGGGGTCAACTGCGGGGTGTCAGGGAGTGCTGACATCATCCATCAGTGGAGATCTAGCCACCTCCCTTGTTCCCGGTCTGTGTAACCAGCTTGTTCTCCACTTACCTGCACCCAGGGCAGAGTGAACAATTATCACTGGGCACACACCACGGGCACCCTGTGGGTGACTCTACAGGTGTTTCCCTCCGTCCCGGGACAGCATCCAAAGGCTCCCGGCTGCTAAACGTACTTTCTTTTATCGTTTTTCGAGACAGGGTTTCCTCTGTGTAGCTTTGGCTATCCTGGACTCGCTTTGTAGACCAGGCTCAGCTCGAACTCACAGAGATCTGCCTGCCTCTGCCTCCCTGAGTGCTGGGATTAAGGACGTGTGCCACCATACCCGGCTTTAACCTATTCTCTTGACTCTGATCTGGCCACCCTGGGAACATGCATTTCACCCAGGCCCTTGTCTGTTAGTCACATGGCCTGCTTCCTCCCTTAATCCAAACCAGCTACCCGCTCTCTTTATTCCTGTGTCTTTCGTCACAGCAGGAACACAGCTGGGCCTTGACGGCTGGTTGGCTCTGCTAACTACTGCCCTGGAACATTGCGTGAGAGCAGGAGCTCTGTGTGCTGGTCTTTACTGCTGTTCCCACTGTGCCAAGCCACGTGCAAGCTGTGGTCCTTCCCTGCCTACCTGTGGATGCAGGGTACTGATGCTCCGACAGAGTTTTCTCAAGTTGCTGAGGACCGCGGAGCTGTTCTTCAAGCACGGAGTCACCTCTCGTGGGAAGTAGAACTTGCGGAGCACCCTGGAAGCTCTGCAGAGGAGTTCCTTCTCCGTGGTGTTCTGCAAAGAGACAAGGTGAAGAAAGCTGTCAGCTGCTCCGTTTAAGGTGGGTCTGCCCAGCTTTGAGTCTGTACGAAAGTGTTTCCGAGGAACCTCCCGGCTTCTTTTCCATGGAGGGTTTTCTTGAAGGCTGGCTTCAAGGAAAGTCGCCCACTTAGGTAAACGGCAGGGTGGGGAGCACCTGTCCGCATTGCCAGTCCCCATCTTTCTACCCGGTGGGCTTTCCTTTCTGCTCAAGGTGCCCACATGAGCACTTAGCCAGACATGGTGCTTGTCCCTGCAGGGCCCCGAAAATCCTTCATGTTTACCGATGGCTGACTACCTGCTGGGGACATGCCCCATGTGGCTCTACCCGAAGGAGAGAGCAGTGTCTGGAGACAGTCGTTGTCCAATGGAGGATTAAGGCTTGTCCCCCAGAAAACCAGACCTAGGAGCCCAGTGTGGGGAAGGTATCCAGGAGCCTGGCCTAGCATTGTCAGAAAAGGCTTCTGGGAGAGGGTGCCATTGACCTGGGCCTTGGTTAGCCTTTGCCCATCATTGGTAGAGATAAGAGCCCTTGGGCTCTTCTTGAGGACTCAGATCTTAAAAGACAGAATGCACCAAAGGGGAACCTGGGAGAGGGACCGTCTCTGTTTCTCCAGGCCTCACGCTTCCTCTGAAACTCGCAGGCAGATCATGGAGAGTGAGTATAAGCCAGTCTCTGAATCGCACTGAGAGAAGCCTCTTCTAGCTTATGCCACAGTGTGTGCAGATGTGTGCCTAACCCTAGCTACACAGCAGCCTGCACACCAGGAGCTTGGTAGCAACTCTCACACCTCACCCTGGGCCTACTGAGTCAAGATGTGCAGTGAAAAGACCCCAGGGGGAGCTGACAGGTCCAAGCAGCTTAAAGCTGTTTCACTTTTCACAATTGCCTAATTTTTTTTTTTCTCTATGAAGGTCGATTTAACAAAAAATGAATTCACTTATCCCACCAGCCAGAGATAACTCTTATCGTGTTAATATTTTGGTAAATATCAGGACTGGGGGTGAGCTCAGTGGTAGAGCACTTGCCTAGCACATGTGAGGTCCTAGGTTCCAGCTCCACTACAGTGAAAAAAAAGAGAAGAAGCAAAAAACCCCAAATATCTTACTAAAGTTTTGTTTGTTCGAGACAGGGTCTCACAGTGCACTCCTGGCTGGCCTGGATCTCACAGAGATCTGCCTGCCCCTGCTTCCTGTGCTGGGATTAAAAGTGTGAGCCATCAGGCCTGGCTTCTAGTAGGTACCCTCTAAAAATAATCAGATAAAAACGGAATTGGAAAGAGACTGCGCTGAGTGGGGACACTTCAAAAGAACTAGCCCCAAAGGCAGCTTAGACAAAGGACAGTCCGATTTTGGTTCCACTGATTTCGACACCAAGGGAGCACACAGTGACAGATAGCCAATCATGTACCTCAGCCCTCCTCACCACAAGCTGCTCACAAGACGGGCAGGAAATGGCTACCTAGGAGGTGTCTCCTGGGGTGGCAAGCCTCTCAGCATCCACGGTAGGTCTCCACCGTCAGGTCTCCACAAGACCTGTCTGAGCCCATGAAAATTTAGTCCTATCCCTATTAAACTTCTTTATCTCTAATTGGGCCCAAATCTAATCAGCCAGTGCTCTAGATGAGGCAATCCGTTAAAAGCAAACAAATAGGGCTAGAGCACTCGTCTCCAAAGCCCAAGGAGCTAAATTCAATCTTTAGAACCTGTATTTTTTTTTTTTTTTAACAGCTGGACGTGGTGGTGACCTTAGTAATCTCAGGGCTGGGGAGGCAGGGACAAGAGGATCCCTGAGGTTCACCAGGCACCCAGCCTAGCCTACTCGCCAAGCTCCAGGCCAGAGAGAAACTGTTTTCAAAAAAAAAGGCAACAATACAGAGGATGCTACATGAGCATGACCCATCCACTCATGTATGCACGCATGTGAACCTGTACACACACACACACACACACACACACACACACACACACACACACACTCCTCAGAGCAGCTCAAGGACTTCAGTCTTTAACTCTCTTTTGTCACCTGGAAATACCCCAGCTGATGAGCCACCCAGAATCCCTTCTCAGAACAGCCAGCTTGTGCTTGCCACTTGCTTCTCCTCAGATGACCACCGATGCCCCAACTGTGCCGCCTGTGACGCCAGGATTTACCTCAGCACGCTCTTTCTAACACCAGCCCAACGTGGAGATGCTGGGATTTTTGATCCCCAAAAGAGTTAAGGTCAACATACCAGATTTTGACTTTTGCAAGCTCTAGAGAAGAATAACCTTTCCTAGGTCAGAAATGCTACACTGAAGGTAAGCAATGCCGAGTCTCCGGGACAGGCGAGAATGGGAGGGAGAACAAAACCAACAATCCAGGAGGCACTGAGGCAGTCGGGGCAGGGAGCAAGGTGAGGCTGGTTTTCAAGCCTATGTAAGGGCTGGGGCGGAATGAGGAAGAGGAAGGGCAGCAGGAGGGTAAGGAGTGGGAGTGAGGCACCCTGGGTCTTCCAGGCTCAGCCTTCAAGGAGTAGGCCCAGTAAGGAGCCACGTAGGCATGGCCGGCCGGCAGCCCTCCTGCTCTGCAGCCAGGCTGTGCCTTTGGTGAGAGTCTAGAGCCATCCGCAAACACTGCCAATTCAATTCCTACAACTGGCCTCTATGTGAGCCCTTAGATGACCTTCAGAATCAACCTCTGTAACTCCAAAGGTGAACACTGAGGCTCCAGGGTTTGTGACTGCCTACTACCAAGGCCAGATGGCTAGTGACTGGCTGAACTGCAGCCGAAACCAAAGGCTTTCACGCCCAGGCCCCTCAGCTTTCAGTAGCTACCATCTGAGTTAGAAGGACTCAGAATCAGTAAATACTTAAGGTTGCACATATATGAAACAGTGATATATATGATATATAGCCTTTAGATAGCTAGGCACACACACACACACACACACATATGCACAGAAACTCATCCTGCTTCAGACTCCTGGAGTTGAGACCATCCAGACAAAGCCCATCCAGGGTGGGGTGAGCAGCTCTCCTTCAAAGAAGGATAAACCTTGCCCATGGCCTGGGTACTGGGCTGTGACCTCAGCTACCCAACAGGGCTTTGCTCCTGACTTCGCCCCTGTCCGGCACACGTGGGAAGCCGGCAGTTGGGAGACCACTGGTAAGCCAAGGCTTTTGGGGCTTTCATGGAAACTGTGTGTTTCCATGAAAACAGGAACTTGAAGTGTACAGAGCTATTGATACGGCGGTAGCCGGTCATGTGTTTGTCAGAGAAAATGCACTATCAGCTGTCACATCTGTCCCTCCCACTACAGATGGAGGGGTGGGGGTGGCTCAGTGCAGGAGGTGGAAAGGTGACAGAGATGCCCAAGCAGAAGCAGGAATGGCCAGACTGCAGACAGAGAACAGTCCCGAACCAGGCTGAAGGGGACTGCGGCAGGACAGGATGAGCTGAGGAGCCAGCCGGACAGCCGGCCACCATCCCATCGGGCTGCACGACCAGAAAGAGAACTGTAGGGACCGTAGGAAGTCTCTTAGACAAAGCGAAAGCCTTCTCAGCCTGTAATCTCCATATCTGTTTTTGAGAGAGTACTTGGTTTTTTCAGAAATGGGCCCAGAGACAGACAGAGAGACAGAGAGAAAGAGAGAGAGAATTCTCTCATCCAACAGCACAAACTGTGTGTCTCTCCTATGATCCAGGTGCTGCACCAAGGCCAGGCAGGACTTCAGAGATGTCTGCACCCTATCTGAGTTAGGATGGACAAATCCGGCCTCTCTCTGGCATGTCTTCTAAGACTAGTGGAATTCAAAACTACAAAGCAAACTAGAGCACAGTACTCCGCCTCCACAGAGTACAAACTCCACCGAGTTTGGGCCTGCTGGTTTTCCGTCACAGAAGTTTCTCATTCAGACTCTTGTAGGTGGCCCCCCTCCCTGCCGCATGCCAAAGCAGACCCCCCGGGCCCACTTACCTTCGTTGCTGTGAGGACATCTGGCACAAACATCTCTGTGCATGGTGTCTGGACACAGATGGGCGTAAGATGGAAAAATAAAGAGTTAATCCAAGCAGGCCGGAGAAATCATTGATCCACCTTTCATTCCTTCACCCTGAGAAAGCTCCTTCCACCTCCAAGGTGGACATAGCAGGGTCCCTTGAAGGCTGGCTAGGTCCCTAGTCCTGCCACCAGCCACCAGCCACCAGCCACCCCGACCTCTCTAGCAACTCAGTTCTCTGAGCTGAGACAACTGAGATCCTGTCACCTGAGTATCTGGAGAGATGGTGCCTGATAGCGTACTCACCCCTTTCTTTACGACCTGGTCCAAATTGTGGATGATCTCTTTCAAGTCTGTCCCTCTGTCCTGTCTGTGAGCATAGTTCCCGGTACACGCTAGAAGGCAGAGCAGGACAGCAGCTAGCTGGGGGCTGAGACCCATCAATAGACCTCTACCGTCAGGGACGTGAGACAATTAAGTTTGTCAAGAGATGCCAACAATGCACTTCTGACAGAGATCTCTCTATATATATAGGGTTAAAATTGCTGAAACCAAGGGAAAATGAGTTTACATTGGAAATTTTTCTTTCACCAGATTGTCAGTCATTTTGGGCCAATCAGCACCTCTCTTCCAGGAGAAAAAATGCCTCAGAGAAACAGGTAAATTTTCCTGTGAAATCAGACCAATTGGAAAATGAAACCCCTTCTTTAAAAAAAAAAAAATCTACAAAGTTTCAGCATAGGAAATTACACCATAGTCGGCCCTGCAGATTAATCTTATCAGCGTGGGGTTGCCGCTGGCTTTGCCTCTGCACAGAAGGAAGAGGCCGCAGGTGTCCGAGGGCGCCGTCCTAGGGAAAGACAGAGTAATCTCAAGAAAGTCTGGCTTACGAGGCCCCTGGGTTTAGCTCCTTCCTGCCATGGGGGCACCTGGGAAACTCTGGGCTTGTCCCTGGCAGAAGGATAATGCAGGCAGACCTTCTTCCAGGTGCCATCGAGGCGGGCCTCGTTTGGGGTGAGCAGGACCATGAGGGCCTTATCAAGAAGGAGGTCCTGGGCAGGGTTAGAGATGGTCCCTGCGAAGGCCTGAGGAATGCCTGCCTTAAAAAAAAAAAAAAAAAAAAGTTTTGAAAATTCATTGATTTCACGTGAGTGTGTATTTGTGCACGCTGCAGGATCAGTGTGGAGGTCGGAGGGCAGGCTGCAGGGATCAATCCTCTCCTCACACCGTGTGGCTCCTGAGGATTGAACTCATGCTTGAAGTCTCCACAGCGGGCGCCTTTTCCCACGGAGCCATCTCCCTGGCCCAAGAACGGCTGGCTGCTTTTGAGGTGAACTTAAACACATCCACCATTAATCGAGACACAGAGCCGAGGCTCGAGAGTTGCCCGGCTGTTCTCAGCCAGCGTCTTCTGCCGCCCATCCTGCTATTTTACTCTAATGCACGTGGGCCCTGGGGAGGTGCCCATTGCCCCTCCGAAGCAGTAAACACACTGACCCTCCCTGCCATTTGCCTGGAAGCAAAGGTCTCTCTGCAGTGATCCCTTCCCTCCCATCCTCTGGAGAAAGGGTTTCTCATCCGCCCCCAGATTCCTTACTCTGAGGTTCCTGCCTCTACTTCTGACTTCTACCTTGTGGAAGATCGCCTAGAAACATTTGTTGCTAAGGTGGTGATTGATTGCGTGTCGGATTACTTTCCCCTTATTGTTATTTAAGGAATAAAAATCGGGTAGAGAACTCCTGTAGGTGAGGCTGGCCTCAGATGCACGGTAATTCTTCTGCCTCCACCTCCCAAGTGTTGGGATTGCAGCTATGAGCCACCACACCTGGCTTACAAATATCTATCTTTCAATTGTGACTGTTGTGAAGTTGGACACAGTCACATTCCTGCAGTTCCAGAGACATGGTCAACACTTAGGGAACTGTTACCTACCAGGCACGTGAGAAACAAGAGGCAAAGCCCAGGTCTGTCCTCCTGGGCCGAGAGCCAGGATAAAGGCCAGAGCTCTCTTTGGGTGAAGGAGATTCATTAAAAAAATAAATAAATAAAAATTAAGGCAGGCAGTGGTGGGCCACACCTTTAATCCCAGCACTCGGGAGGAGGCAGAGACAGGTGGATCTCTGAGTCTGAGGGCCAACCTGGTCTACAGAGTGAGTTCCAGGACAGCCAGGAACACTGTCTCAAAGAAAACAAAAATAAAATAAAATAAAATAATTAACTTTTTATTTAGAGTTGGCTCTCGCCTTGGCTTTTATGCGTGTCCTACGGGTCACACTCAGGCTCCACCCTGCCCCGCTGAGTGTCTCTCGCTGGCTCTGAAGTTGATCCTTCACTGTGTATTTTGCTTTTGTGTGTGTACCAAATGTATACCTGGTGCCTATGGGGGCCCAGAGAGGGTGTTGGAAGGCGTGGAACTGAAGGTAGAGATGGTTGTCAGCCTCCCTGTGGGTGCTGGGAACCCAATCAGGGTCCTCTGGAAGAATATCCAAGATTCTTCACCAAGAAGCCAGCCATCTTGAAGGGTGGGGTTCTTGAGAAGAGCATTTGGAAGGCTGCCTCTAGGACAAGCAGCTGACCGGCTGCTCCGATTAAGGGTGGCTGGGGTTGAGCCTTCAGGTGAGCAGGGGCGGGGCCTCGAGAGAATGAGACCAGGAAGGACCTTGTCCTCCACAGCGGGAGGAATCATGCTGAGAAGGGACAGCCAGGGCAGGGCTGGATGCGCCTTAGTCCTCCGGGGCTCTTCGGAAAAGATGATGAGTCAGGAAGGGATGTCACTCGGGAATTCTCCACCCAGGGGTGACTTTGGTTTATGTCGCTTGTTTCAGTGGTTGAATGAGGCCAGAGAAGAGAGGGCAAATGGACCCAGACACCGAGTCTTCCCAATGGATAGAAGGGGATGGTCCACCCCACCCCACGGTGACAGGCGGCCGTGAATGGAGCTGACGAGGCGGAGGTTGGAAACAGTGGCAGCCAGCCTGCAGGAGCTGTGGGCATTGGAGGGACAGGTGACTGTCTCTCGGGCCCTCCCCTGCCCTTGGTGAGAGCCGAGAGCTACTGAGCAGAGAGTGGAGTCCAGCAGGCAGCTCCGTGGGAGGCTCGTTCACTCTGGGTCTCAGTTTCCACAGTGAAGAGGGAGCTGTGTATCTACCAACCCCACCCCGGGGCTCCTGTGAGCCGCAAGTCAGAGATCCATGGAAAGCGCTTAGCCTGAGTCACACGATGAAGAGGCACATGGTTGCCACGTGACGGAGAACGAAGACTCCGGGCCCCAGCAGCTTGTTGGGCCGGCTGGTCCGCGTCCTCCCACGTGACCTTGGCAGAACCTCAGCCACAGCCCCCAGACTTGCACTTGTCTTGTGAGGCTGTTCTGAGCACTAAGTTCAGGTACTTAGATGAGCACCCTGCACTCGGTGGGTGCTGTGGCAGGGTAGTTTATCCATCACCTTGTGGTTGGGGGACCGACTGCAGTACTCCTACAGTCCTCAACTCTGCACGTTCGAGCTTTGTCACCTGGTTGCTGCCCACACCTGCCCCCAGCCCTCAGGCAATCTCCTCTTATGTCTTTACCCCCCCCCCCCCAACTTGTTCCTGAAGAATCTCAGTGTTGACCCTTCAAGCCTCAGATGTATGCACCTGGTAGCGAAGGAAGCGGACTCTGCCCTGCCATGGGCACTTGATTCAGGAAAGGGAGGTGGGTGCAGGCGGAGTGTGAGGAGGCTGCGGGAGTTGAGGCATCCTGGGCCTCGGACTCAGAGGAGGGCCTCGAACTTGGGCGGTGCAATTCCTCAGATGTGACTGTGACGCCTTCTAACAGCTGCCAAGTCACACCAGAAGAAAACTTGGTGCCCTCACGGCCCAGCGGATGGGTGGACCTCCCTTCCGCCGGGCGAACCCCTCTGGAGAAAGCAGCTCCTCGCAGACTCACGTCAGCGGATGCTCAGACATGCCACCGGAACAGCCAAGCCGCGTTGCTGCTTGCACTGTTGAAGGAGAAAGGGACAGAATCAAGCAAGACCGAGGTGTCCTCAGACCTGGCTGGCTGGCCCTGCAGCCTGCTCGCCGGAGCCAGGCTTGCCTTGCGTTCTCTCTCTGCAGCTGAGGACGGAGCCTCGCTCCCTCACAGGCTGGGGTCGGGGCTGGGGCTGGCACTGTGGGCCTGAGAGCCAGGACCAGGCAAGAGGCGGCACGTGGGAGGCCCGCTGTGGTGTCTACGAAGCTCTAGAGAAGGCGAGGGGTGTCCGGGAGGGAGAAAGGACAGACAGGGGCAGTTAGAACCTGGGCGTGGCCGCAGTGTGGGAGTAGGAAGGGGCCTGTGGCTTTGAGCGGCCAAGGTGTGTGTGTGGGGGGGGAGTGAAATGACTCAGAGGGTCAAAGCCTGATGACCTGAGTTTAATCCTCAGGGCCCACACAGAGGAAGGAGTAGACTGACACCCTGGGAGCCGTCCTCTGACTTCCACACACACACACACACACACACACACACACACACACACACACGCAGGCAGACATATCTATACACACACACATCAATACACACCCATTTGCACACGCATCTATACACATGCACACACGAAGAAAGACTCAGAGCCAGCTGTCCTTGAATCCAGCTCAGACACCTTTCTGAGCAGCTCTGGGAAAGTTGTTCTGTCTGGGTGTCCCAGGAAAACCAACTGACAGCAGAGCAGGGGTGTGGGAAAACTGTAAGTGCCAAGTGCTGGTGTGGTATCTGGAACATTAGGAGAAAAACAAACAAACAAACAAACAAAAAACAAAACAAGCGTAAACGCATTTAAAAAACCATAAAACAACGCTCCCTTTCCCGCCACACACACACACACACACACACTCACACTCACACCAGCCAAACGCGTCACCAACAGTGGTGGCGGCAGCCATGGTGCCGAGTGCACGTTGAGGTGAGTGAGGAGTCAGCTGCAGGCGGCCCAGGTTCCTGGCCCAGAGCGCCTGCCCTTCTGGGAGATGGTAGTTCAGAAGGTTCATGCTAAGGGTCAGAGGTCAGCAGTGCTGAGCGGGGCGGCAGGGAGGAGTTTGCAGTTCCTGGCCATCGCGGCCAGTGGCAGGTGGCAGCATGGTGACGTCAGCGGAACGGCAGCTGCTTCTCTGCGCGGTGGGGACAGAGGCAGACCGGAGGGGCCTCCATGGCAGGCTGTGCCGTGCTCCAGGGAGCCACGTGGTGTCCACAGTTGGCCTTTGGCCGAGCACCCCAAAGCGCAGGGTGCTCACACACAGGGCGCCTGGACCTCGCCTGCCGCGTCCGGCCCTCCACAGCCTCTGCTTTCACCGGGGTTCTGGATGGAGTCGTCGTCGGTAGGGCCGGGAGGAGTTTAGGGATGAGAGGAAACTGGCCCTCGCCTGCAACCGCTGAGGTTGGGTGCTACCTGTGGGCTGGTTTTGTAACTATTCGAAGGTTTTGATGATAC